TGAGGGACTGTGGATGTGGGACAAGATCATGAACTTTTAACTGGGTGGGATTCTGATGTAACTTCCAGAGTTGGAATCCCACAGTACGATACCAACACGCTTGCCTTATTAAATTGGAACTTTAAGCATAGATTTGCCTTTGACTCTGATTTAATTCTGCATGATATTTGGAACGCTGACATTTAAACTGGTAAGAACGGGAAAGCCCTCTGCATATATTTTCATATGCACCAAAGACAAATTCTTTGTGTGTCCAATCACACTTGGCCAATAAAGAATTCTATTCCTTGGAAATATAAGTATGTTCAATTTGGAATCTGGAAATTACTTGTAATTACAGGCATTTTGGTTGTTCAATTCCTGTTATGTCTAAAAATCTGTTTCCCAAAATATTCTAATCTTGATTTTGTTTTAAACTGTCGTAGACTGAAACTTCAACCAAGGAGAAAGATACAGATGACTCTCAAGCTAATGTTGTTACCCCAGCTCTTGATTCTTCCAGCCTTCCAAGTACCCTCAAGGATATTCGCTCTGTACCTGTGCTAATGAGAAGAAAAGTTATTGGATTGGTAAGAATGGGAACATTTGCATATATTTTTTCTTTGAAAATATAGGTAGGTCCAATTTTGAATTTATGTGTGACTATACAAATGTTACTTGTTCAGTTACTTTTATGTCAGAAAGTCTTCAGGAAAGCTAATTCCTTGGGAATTAGTTGAAGTTTAACTATATATGGAAGGCAGCAAGCTATAAAAGATTATTCTGTGTGTCCTCCACTTCCTTTTGTTGTTCTAATCCATGTGTTTTATTTCATTTATCTCTAGTCTTACACTTGGAAAGCTGCTCCCTTTCATTCATTCATTCGTTCAATCATTCATTCATTCCCCGCGAAATACAAATAACTCAAGGCAGTGAACATACCCAACCCAATTCTTCCTATTTTCCCCACAACAACAGGCTGAAAACCATAGAGCATGGGCGCCTGAAGATTATCAGGAGCCACCCTGGAATATGAACCAAGCTGACCAGTATCTCAAAGGGTCTGAACGTTACAAAGACTCGGTAAGTTGATTCTGGTCATAATGAAAATAATTGTTAGTAAGGGGGAGATGGAGACTAGATGTGGGACATGAGTGAAGAGTGAATGAGGGCTATAGAGAGGAGAAAAAGTTGCTTCCAAGAAAAACAAAGACCTACAGTGACACTTTAAAGTATCTCTAACTTGGACCCCTCTAGATATTTATATATATATATACACAAGTCCTATAGTTCACATATTTGGAAAAATTAGAGGATGATCTCAGTATGTTTCAGAATAGAAAAAGTGAAAATTGTTGTGCTCTGTGGATAAAGTTAAACTTGAGATATTGGGGGCAACGTAACGTGTCACAATTATATAGTGGAACTAGATAGCATTCATAGGTCCGGAAACTAAGAGATTAACATTTTAGCCTAGAGTTTAGTATTAATGACATTTTGAATTTTTATGAGTGGTTCTGAGTTTGAAATTGAAAAAGATGGATTTCTCTTGATTCTTTATTGGATGGTTTCATTCTCTTTTCAGGTCTCTACTTCTATTTCTTCTAATGAAAAACATAATATTGAAAGCCTGGCAAAATCCAAGTCTAGTTCTCCAAAGATTCATCACAGCATCAATTCCAAGCATTCCAGTACAAATAAGACCTCAAGAGACTTACGTTGCCAAAGTCCAAGATCCTGCGCCAGGCAAGAGCGTAGCTCAAGATCTTCTGGCAAGCGAGACCCGTCAACAGAAAGACAGAATAGAAGTTCAGAATTATCCTATAGGCGAGAACATCGTTCAGGATCGTCCCACAAACAAGAAGACTCTCCTCAAAGAGATAAGCGTAGATCAAAATCTCCTTACAGACAAGAACAGTTTTCTCAGAAACGGGGATGTAGCCCAAAAACCTCTCTCGTGCAAGAACATGGTGTGAAGTCAGTACGCAAACGAAAGCATAGTTCAAATTCTCCTCCAAAAAAGAAACAAAATTCAAAATCTCAGAAGCTGGATAGGTACTTTAGATAACTAATTGTGTGTATTTTTTTAAGGAATTGGGCAAGTAAAAAGAAGTAGGGCCACATGGATAGGACAAATTAAGAAAAGGACCTTGAAAAAACAGGAATTCTCATAACAAAAGAGAAATAATAGGTGGATATATTTAGCTCTTAAAGAATGTTCTAGTGGGCATCAGTTTGAGATGCAGACATTTCTACATAAGCACCAGCTTTTCTCTCAGACTTTCTTTTTTTTTTACTTCATTGCTGCATATTCACTGCATTTTGTCCTCCCCATTGAGCCATAAGTACTTCATTCAGGTGGCATATGTCTTTAACCAGTAAACATATATGTTTTTAGTTTGTGAGAGTAAGACTTAATCTTACATTTTTAATCAGTACGTTGAGTTTTAAATGCGATATATTAGTTGAGTCGGATTCCTGAGGCTGAATTGAGGCAGAAGGTTTCTGCCGCTCAAGTGAGTCCTTTTCTCCCGCTTCAGGTGCAAAGAGAAAAAGTTGGGAAGAAGTTGTTGCTGCCATTGCTATTACCACTATCAACAGAGCTGCAGTCCATCCCAAGAGAGTTTGTGTCACAGATGTTGCTCTCCTTCTTACTTAACTTGTAAAATAGAACACCTCAATGTTTCCAAAGGTTTGCTTTTCCTGAGGATTTTATGTCAGAAATAGCTCAGAATGTGACCTATTCTGTTTTCCTTGAAGGGACTGAGTTTGAGTACCTTTAGGATAGTTACTTAACAAATTATTGTGGGTTACCTTTTTCTCTAAACTTCAACCAGAGGTTATAATTGCTTTTTTCTTGATAATGTGATCTCCAAAAGGAAAACCAAGGTGGAGCTTAGTATTAAATTAAAAGAAGTGGCCAATGAGATGCCTATGGGAAGCCCAAAAATTATCAAGCAAATTGAAAGGCATGTGCCATGAGTTTATTGAAGTGCCTTTCAATGTTGGCAGGAATAAACTACATCTTGTAATGAATTAAATAGATTGGCTGAAATTTTTTTATGAAGAAATGCTTCCTTCCATGAGAATATGATTATATTTTGGGAAATAACTTTGTAAATTAAGAACAAAGCTAATGGTTGGTTGGGCCCTGTTGAATATCTTTTTGGAAATTATATGGAAGTATATATGACTTCAATTTAATTTAATTTATAGTGTGCCTTTATATTTTTTTCAAATAACTCAAGGTGGTGAATTTATTTCACACCTTCCTCCTCCTATTTTCCTCACAATAACAACCCTGCGAGTTGGATTGGGCTGAGAGAGATTGATTGACCCAAAGTCACCTAGCTGACTTTCATGGCTAAGGTGGGATTTGAATTCACGGTCTCCTTGTTTTCTAGCCCAGTACCTTAACCACTAGACCAACCTTGGTTCTATACCAGTATTTTATTTTATTTTTTATTTTATATCACCCTGATATTTTCTCCTTCATTGTTTGCATTTGTATTGTTTCGGTCTTGGAATAGAAAACCAAGCATCTCTGTGAAGAAAATAATAATCTGTTTCTGATTTTGTTTTTATTTCACAGAAATAAGAAATGTCTATGGCATGCCATACCACCTTTCTCCCAAGAGGTCTATTGTGGTAAGAGAATATGGTTTTATTCTGCTGACCATGCTAGATGAGGGTGAGGAGAATCTTGTAAATTATATCATACCAGAAGAGATGATGCAAAGATGAAAGTGTATTCCCATTTCTTCCGTTACAATAAATTGAAATTTAGTCTGTCTTCTTTAGGAATTCATATAGAGATTATATTAATTTTTGGGTATCCAGCCCACTTTTTCTCATTTTCTTCTCTCTTGCCCCTAGAAGAGGCAAAGTTGGTAGGAGACTCTGGTGTAGGAGAAAGCTACTAGGCTGCAATTAATATTTCACTATCTATCAAAGCGTCTATATTCATGAATCTCCTGGAAATGTATTTGATAACAATCACATTGTTTATATTTTGATTTGTCTGTTGACATTTGAGTTCTGTTACCAATTTTCATGTGTCTGCTGTATGATTAGTAATACATTTAATATGAAGTATGCATGTTTTTTTTCCCTACATTCATTCCTTATGTTTGTAAATTGTTATTCATTTACCCTTCCAGGAAATTATCTCACCATAAAAAATCATTCTGGGAAACTGGATATTTAATTATCCATTATGTACTGGATAATTAGTATAAACATTAGGCTTAGTATTGTTATAGTTTGCTGTTATTAACTAAACATATCTCCCAGTGGAATCACCTGCGTCCCAGAAGTCTTTAGACTGCATTGTTGCAACTATAGTTTGTTTGGTTAACAAACAGAGCAGAGTGATCCTGCTGTACAGCTGTAGGATTTGTACAGTATCTGTACTGTATAAGTGCTGTTTAATCTGCCGGTGGCAATTGGTTCCTTTCAACCACTTGCTATAAATGTCTATTCATTCTTCACTCACATATTAAGACAATTACATGACCCCAAAGTGTATATAGTCGCCTTTCTTCACATATTCCTTACACTTGTATGAAAATAATTAGGTTAAATTGGTCATTTCAGTAAATCTGTAGGTGAACATATCTGACTTAATTTCCATATGGTACATAGTTAATATCATATTTTCCTGCTAATCTACAGGCAAACTTGCTATTTATGTGCAGTTGTTTAGAAAAGAGAACATGTAGGTGCAAAAATCTGAACACCTTTATAACATCTTTTTGGGGAGAAGTATTACTTTCTAAACATTTCTTATCAGCAGTTAAGTGTCTTTTTATTCTTCTGTGTATCTCTTCCAAACTCCTAAATACTGTAAAGTACCATGACGACAACGGGAATCTACTATCTGTTCGATTTCATAATGGCGTTCACCTGCACCGGAGACGGTGGTGTTGGAAGATTACATAGCCCAGTGATGGTCATCAGTTTGAGTAAACTGCTGTGAAACACTGGGTGGGTTTTCCCCAACTGGGGAGGCAGCTTTAGTTCTACCGTGACCGGATGGCTAGATGGAAGCGAGGGATAGGCTGGGAAGGAGGCCATGATGTATTCCTGCTACTTGACCGGCCATCCCCTCTGTTCTCTTGATAACAAGAACCGCTGTCATGGAAGCTGACCTCCCCAAACCACTCCCTCAGACAATCCATCGTCTGGCTACCCTAGTCAGTGGAGTAGCTCCACTCTCCCTCTTCATCTTCAGTCACCCTCCTTTCTACCAAGTGAGGTGATCCCCCTGGGGTGAAGGCACAGGTAGTTCTGAGCTGGTTGTTAACCCCGTTTGCTTCCACCACTCATTCACTGGCACCACCGGTTGAGATGTAGGAATAGCCCCAGTGGCAGAGGCCTGGTTTACCACAGGCCTCTCCTTACATCTTACAGCTACCTCTGTTTCCGCCTCCTGTGTTGTAACAACCAAAGGAGTGGCCTCAGGTAGGACCACTGCTGCTGCCTCGGCTCCTTCAGACATCATTCAGACCAAACAGGAACTATGTGAAGTGAAGTATTGATGGTAGAGAACTGACTTTCTGTCACGTTCCGGCGTTCACGTTGAATGCAAACAGAGAGTCAGTTTGTTTGGTGAAAAACTTTATCTCTATCTAATATTACATGATAATCAGCATTAAATGACAATGGTGCAAAGGTAAGTAAATCCAAGTCAGTTCTAACCAAGTTAACACCATCACTCATATATATACCATTACCCCACCCAGCTCCACCCACAACTCCACCCAGATGACATCCAACCACCATCACCAATCACCATGACCCACACCCTCAGCCACACCCCCACTCAGTGTCGTCATAGCTCCTTCCTGGTTAGCCACATCCGAGCAGAAGAGTTACTTCTGAGGAGGCAGTTGCACCCAAGTAGAAGAGATACTCTGCAGAATAGTGAGGGAAGCCTTGCAGAGCCACATGCAGCTACGGGCTCCGCCAACATCAAGAGAGTCACCATCAACGTGGCAGCATTGCTGGTGTGTAAGCATGGCCGAGCGGGCATGGCGATGGATGGGTTCCCCCTTGAATGGCAGCCCGAGGGCTGACATCTTCCTTTGAAACGTTTATGTTTATCTTCATTTGGTTTGTTTTTTTTACTATTCTTCCTTAAGAACCAAGAAATTCTTCTAGTTCAGAAAGCTTAGGGCTCCTTATGTCTGCTGCATGTTTGAAATCCCCCCACAAGTTGCAGTAATATTCAAATCTGGATAGTATAAAGTATTTTCATACATCTAAATATCTTTTAAATTTTATTTACTTATCTTCACTGGATAATAAATGTCTGTAAAAAATACACTGCTCCGTTTTTTAAAAAAAAGACAAGTGACTTTCTGGTATTATCTCAGTACTTTCCTTTTACTTCCTGTTACAATCCTTTCTCCTTCTGGGATGGTAGAATGAAAAGGAAATAAGAGAGAGCAGACAAGTGGTGGAACCTGAGATACCGTTAATTGAAAAGGAAAAAAGAGCAACCATAAGGACCAGAAGAAATGCTTTGAAGGTAATTTATAATACATATTTCAAATGCTATGTGAAATAAGCCATATCTTAATTATATAAATGTTTTTGATTCTCTGAATATTCATATGTATGCATAGACATCTGTGGGAGTAAAGGAGAATGTTGTCATGTGTTATAATGTCATCACAGGAATGATGAGATTAAGTATTGTACATCAGTCTCATCATGCAACTAGTTTATTTGCACAATTGTCAGTGAAAGTTAACATCCAAAAAATCCTTTTAATTTACATCTAGTTTCTCACAATATAGGTCCTTGACTTACAACTGGTCATTTAATAACTATTCAAAGTTAAAACAGCTCAGAAAGGATCCTTTACAGTCAATAAAGCATTTCTAGTTCTCATAAAACATTGTGCTGCTCCCTCCCCCAGTCACATGATTGGGATCCGGGTGCTTGGCAACCATTCACACTTACAATCAGTTGTCAAGTGCCCTACAATCATGTGATCTCCATTTAACAATGTACTCTATTGAATTCCCCAGAAGATCAGTAGGGAAGCCAGCAGGGAAGGTTTCAAGCTGCTGCCATCAGTGAAAGGATTTCCTCTCCATGCATGGAACAGAATTCTTGTGCTGGGCTGGAGAAATGAAGCTTAGCTCAGATCTGAGCTTTGTTTCTCCAAACCCCAGCAAGCTCTCAAAGGCTAGGGAACCGGTCCTTTTTTTGCACCAAAAAGGCAGGAGCAACTTGGCAGAATGAAGGGCAGTGGCAGAACCAAGAAAGGCAGGAGAGCCCAGTATTTTTCTTCCCCATTGTTTCTTGCTAGCAAAACAGCTGTTCAATGGGCATGTGTGAGAGCCACTTGAGAGATGGGTAGAAGAGCATGGGGGTATCTTGAGATGGGGGAAGCCTTGGAAAGCCCACGGCTAGTGGGTTTCAGCCTGCACTAGGCCTTCTAGGATCTCTCCCTCCCCAGGCACACCCTTCCTGCTCTTAAAAGAACTGTTGGTTCATTTAACAAATGCATTGGAAAGAGCAGAGATGGCTGGTCATTACTTGAGGCAGTTCATGTAATGTTTGTCCTGACTTTCAACCCTAATGGGCAGTCATAACTCAAGGACTGCTTGTACTGGAAAGTTAGATCTACTTTGCAGCAAAATTATTATATCAAGAAAAGAGAATATTTGAGGCTCATAGTTGAAATGAAGGGTCCTTGGTGCTCCCTGAGCTTGCTTGTTCTCCGGTTTTCATTTATCCTAACTAGGTAACATTATCAGTGCTAGTAAGGAGTGCTGTTTGCTGTCAGTTTATATTCTGGTCTCTTGCCTGTCTGTGTGGGTGGGGGTGATCTTAGGGATTCTTTGTGGCTGGACTGTTTACTGATGGCTCTTTGGCAGTTTCTTCATTGGAGTATTGCTTACTTGATTGTTGATCTGCAGGTTAAGGACCCCTTAAATTATTATACTTCCTTATTATAGACCTCTTTTTTCCTAAGTATTCAAAATATGAATATTTTATACAGTCTATTTTTACGTATTGCTTTGCAGCAGGAGTTTCTTTAAATTGGGGGGGGGGGTGTTGTTAGCCTTGTTAACTATATATCTCATTGGGAAATTTATTGATTCAGTCATCAACCAAAAAGAAGAAAACGAGCTCTCCTTGCCACCTTAATGCTGAAGAGACCAATTCTTCAGTCCCATCCTGGACTCCTAAAGACCGATCTGCAGCAGTGCTAGCAAGAAAAGAAGAGCTTGAGCAGGTAAGGAAAAACTGAGCTTCTTCCCCACTGGTTCCCAAACATGGCTGATGAAGATGACAAAAAGAAATGGTAGAAAGGAAAGAAAAAAGACAGAGCTTGTGCATTTCATCTGCCTGCTTAAGGATTGGGCTTCTTTGTATTTGTTTATTCATTTTCAAGCCATTTGTAGCTGAGACTATAATGAAGAATGGGAACATAAGCACACGCTATAAACTTAAATCTTAATTTGTAAATTAGATTCTGAGAATTCATGGTTTATTTATAGTGAGTATGAAAAGACGATAACCCTGATGAAAACATGCAAGTAATATTGCATGTTTCATTCAAGGTCATCTTTCTTACTTCATACATCTGCCTTTAACATTCCAGAAGTAGCTGAACAATGACCATCAACATTTCCACAATTTGCCATGAACTGTGGCTGCTAGAAGAGGTTTTTCAAAAGGCTGAGCTTTGCCACACATGCTTTAAAGGAATAACTTTGTTTTTCAGTATCTAGTTCACCACCTTTGTTTCAAAGAATTTATCTTCTCCACCCAATCAGTGTACATTTTCAGTGTTACATCCATAGTTGAGCTGAGTGATGTTCCAAATGTGGATGGGGCTGCAACACAAAGGGAACTTTACCTATTCATTGTGGTTCAGCAGATTCATCTGAATTAATTAATTCAAATAATTATTTGAAATAATGCTGCTACTATCCACATGGATATTACATCCAGTTTATTCCAGGAAAAAATGCAAACATGGATGCTTTGTGCATTCTCTACTTTGAACCTTTTAAAAACAAATGATATATATTTACTTTTATATATTATTGGGTGTTTCCCCTACCCCCTACTTTATGCGCTTCTGATCATTGCCACAGCCCCAATAATTATAGACGGGGTATTCAGTAGTGTGGTCTTAAAAATACATTGCTTGTTCATTGGCCTGATGGAACTTGGTCTTTTACTTTAGGCCTACCTGCAGGTCCTTCTCAACTTTGGAGTAATAGCCATCATGCTGGTGGAAAAGGAACCCTGCATGATAGAAGCAATGAGCTCAGCACTACGAGCTAACCTGAGAAAGATTGGAGACTACTATGAATGTCTGCTAAGGAACTACATTGACAGCTTAACTGAAGCCAGCTGAGAAGACATCACATTGGCAAATCTACCTAATATACCTGAAGCCTTTTTTAAGACAATGGGAGGAAGCTTTCTGTTCAAGCCCAGGATAAACAATGGCCTTGGAGAAGGCCTCCTTTTGGCAGTAGAGCTGAGAAACCACTTTCTCCTGCAACAGCTACAGGATGCAGAAGTGACAGCTAGAAGACTTGAAAGTATTATTGTAAAATCAATCCAAGGACTTTGGAAGATAAAATTGGGAGGAGGGAGGCAAAAAGGGTAAAAAGATGAGTGTGATGCCTAATAAATTCTGAATGACTCAGGTAACTCAGATCAGGTGGTAACTGGAATGGGAGTAGAATCTACTAGATTTATACTTTAAGTTACATGGAAGCATCACATGTTCTTGGTAATGGGGAAGAAGTTCTTATTTTAGCTTATTAAAAATACTGTTGAGCAGTATTTTGATTGTTGGTCTTTGTGCAGAAGCAAGCTGGTCTCTGATGGTCCAGTAATACTCAAGAAGCCTGATGAAAATAGTATTTGCATTTTTCAAAACTATGTAGTAGTATTTTTAAAGAAAGAATAAAATTATTTTGAGACAACTGATCTCTCAGAGCTGCCTTTATTGAGTTTGCCTTCAAGGTGGTGTCCCTATTCAGACATATATTTCTTAAACTTCTGGTTGAGATTACCCAGTTAAGCATTCAAATAAGATGAAGGCACACTCAGTTTTTCTTGATCTTTCTCAGCATATTTTCAATATATCTCTATGTGGAACTTTTGACAGTAAATAAAGGTCCATCACAGGGTTTTAAGATTTTATGTAGGTCAAATAAAAGGGCTATTATTTAGATCATGTCTCATTATTTGCACTAGAATACATAAAGTATGTTGCTCCTTTTTTAATTTCATGTGGTACAAATGACCTCCTGCAATCTTGCATTTGCAAGATATGTTGGACTAGCAGCATGGCTTAGAGGTAGAAAATTTCTGTATCTTATTTTTGTAAGAAAATTGAATGGCCTACCATAGTTCCCTTTCCTGATTTTGACAGATCAGCTAAAGGGACCCTTCGCACAAGGAAATATGACAAAAATAAATGTATGCATTATAGGTGGGACAATAGGACAACCCCAAAAATGGAATAGTATTGAATCCGTATTCAGCTTCTTAGCAAGATCCAATGTAAGTAATACTTGCTGTCTAACCCATCTTATCATCTTCCTACCGTTATTCCCACAGAAGCAGAGTCTGTTTTTCAGATCAACAAACACCATCTTGCACAATCAAGTGCAGCTGGATCATGTCTGCATTTTGATGGAGATGGCTGTAAATCCATTGATTGCAACAAAAAACTTGACTAACTGGCTTGTCACCTGGGCCTGACATTAGTTTGGTCTGTGTTCAGCTTAGCACTTCCCTGATGGGCAGGCAGTATCCAATAATAGCACTAGTAGGAGCAGATCTCACTGCCTACTGTCTAACCCATAACAATTGTTCACCTTCCCTTAAAATCTCTTGCCTTACAGCTAGTTTGAAGCAGTATTAAAAACTGATCATATACTGACCATAATTTAGCTCAAGGAGAAATCAGTTTCTGGTCCTTTTTTGGTGGAATAGTTGTCTGCACTCTTGATTTGCCATCTAACTCACTGTTGAAATAATTGGCTACGCAAATGAATACAGGAGAGGTGAGGAAAGCTTTGGCCTGTGGAATATTATTTCATAGTGTTTATGTCTCATCAATAAATTTGTCAACATGTTGGGAAAAGATAGTCCACAATTGAAAGGATAATTTCTAATTTGGCAAAAGAACTGGAAAAATGTTTTCTATTTCTATTAAAACCCAATGAAGATGCTTCAAGATTTGATATATGAGCTTTCAGAAACATTACCATAATAATTCTGTTAATGCTTTCCATCCTCCAATTAACATTTATATTGCAGATCCTGTCCAAGGGGAGAAGTTTTATAAATAGCTATAAAAATTCACCAGATAGGCTATGTATAGTATTTATGCAGAAATTAATTTTCTGAATGTGACATAAAAAGATTGAATCTATCTCAACTTTGTATTCAAATTTATCAAGCCTTCATTTTAAGAAAGCATTTTATTAAAATGAATTAAAACATTGATCATTATGCTACAAAATCACCATCCTTTTGTCTTCCTTTAGCCTAGCAAAATTGAAGGAAAACAAGATTCCTTCTTTTTGACTCATGACTTTTCAAATCCTAAAATGAGAATTTGGTTTTGATTTAATTGACTTAATTCCACAAGAGAAGTATAAAAATGGCTATCAGCAGTTGAATCGGAGGAAAACACTTCTTGCTTTTTTCCCCCAAGAAGCTGCACTAGCTTCCAATGCATTAGAGACTATACCTGAGCCCAAACTTCCAAAGGAAAGGTGATTATTTTCCTAATTTCTGCCTCTTCTTTTTCAGTTAAGAACATCATCTTCTCATATTAATCTTTCCCAAGCAAAGTATAACTATGCAAAAGGCTCCTCTTTTAGTAGCATGATATGTATGTGATGTGTATGAATGTAAACATTGTGCCTTCCTTCATTGTTGAAACAATTACCCTTAAATCAATGGTGAAATTCATTTTTTTTACCAGTTCTGTGGGCGTGGCTTGGTGGGCATGGCAGGGAAAGGATACTGCAAAATTTCCATTCCTACCCCACTCTAGGGGAAAGATACTGCAAAATCCCCATTCCCTCCTCACTCCGGGGGGGGGGGGGGGGTTTGCAAAAATTCCATTTCCCCCCCACTCCCAAGGATTTTGCCGGATCTTTGGGCTACTCAAAATTTCCTTTATTGGTTCTCCAGAACCTGCTGAATTTCACCCCTGCCCTTAATACATTTCTCCTCCTACGGTCTGATAAGAGGCCTCAATNTTTTTCGCTTAATTTTGCCCACCCCCCAGGAGCATTCTATAAGCTTCCTAAAGGCTATCCATGCCCTTTTTTTGGCAAAAAATGGGCCTGTTTTTTTGTCCGTTTTTGCGCCCCCCCCCCCCTGCCCCAGGAGCATTCTACATGCTTCCTGAGGGCTATTCGTGGACTTTTGGGGGGGGGGGAAACGAGCCCGTTTTTGTGAAAAATGGGCCGTTTTGGGGAGGTTTGCACAGTGCAAAAACTTCTGCCTCTTCAAAACCTTGGTGCGTCTTTTACTCCGAAAAATACGTGTACCTCTATTCACGGGCTTTATCTACGTCCCTTTCTCATATCTCTGGGCCCCGGCTGCAGAATCCACACTCTCTTCCCACCCGAAGGTGGAAGGAATGGAGCTGATTTCCGATCTTGCTGAAGGTGGGGATTTCATTGTCTCGCGTCCTCCCTCAAATCCCGTGTCCTGGCGGCCGGAGGATCCAACCTGGAGCGTTTAAGCGGCTTAAGAGAGAGACAACGGCGCCTCCCTTCCCTTTCTGCCACCTTCCTTTTCATGGCTGATTCTCGCCGGCTCCCAATTTAGCAGCCTGCAAATCCTTCCCGAGCAATTTCAGCAGAAGCGTCTGAAATGGGAAAGTGGCAGAGGAGGAGAGGAAAAAAGGAGAGGAGAAGACACGGCCGATGTCGCTGGGAGACCTGCAGCCCTGGGCGATGGCGGTAGGTGGCTGCCTTCTGACCATGGTGGTCCAGAAATGAGAGGTTCTCTTGACATCCACAAAAAGCCGCCTGCCAGGCCTGCAGCCATCTTTTCATTCCCCCCTCCCCACCTTTTGGCGCACAATGGACCCGTTTCTCACCCTCCCCAGGCTCCAGAAGCTTTCTAGGAGCCTGGGGAGGGTGAAAGTAGCACCCCCACCACCATGAGGGCGAAAAACGGCCCTATGGGCAACTGAGAAGTTCGGGAACGGACTCTGGATTACTCGTAGTGCCATTTTTTTTGCACTCCGGAGGCTTCAGGAGGCTTCCCTGAAGCACTGGTGGGTTGTAGGCAGGTACACCCTGGTACGGCCGTACCGGAGCCTGCTCGGAGCACCGGGTACCGTTCTGGTATGGTGCTCTGGAGGGTCCACCTGAGCTCCTTACCTGTCCTTTAAGCCTTTGGCTCTTCCGCGCAAGCGCATGGTATGTACGGCACCTGTGCGATGCTCCGCCGAGCAGCTGGAGCGTCGCAGAGGGTTGCGGAAACATCACAGGCAAGTACGACACATGTGCGTGCTGTGTGCATGCCATGTGCGCTGAGCGTGTCCATGTGGGTGACGCCGGGGGGAATCCGGAACCCACCACTGCCCTGAATGAAGGCGAATGTATGAGTCCCAGGACACAGGACGATGTTGCCAGGATCCAGTCTGAGTCGGTCACCGGGACGGGAGGTTTTGTCTTCCAAGTGTTGGACTCATGCTGAAGCCCATCCTCAGGGCACCTCTCTGTGTGTGCTTTGGAGTGTTCCGTGTGTGGCATTTATAGGGTGCCTGTTGTGTGTGGCTTTTAGAGGTAGATTTGGGTGCATTGATAGCTGGCTATTAAGTCGCTGGCTGTGCTGCCCAAGCCCTCTGCCTTCTAAGTATTTGATAAGCTGGTGGTAAATCAGCACTCCCATTTCCACAGGTTTCAGTCACATCTCCGGCTGTTTTTGTGCCTGCTCTGCCGACAATCTTAGTAGCTGCAAAATGGAATGTGTGTCCTTGTTTATTGCAGTGTGAGGCTACCAATGATTTTGGGTGCCATTGCGGTTGCATCTTCCTCTTGAAAAGAAGACACTGGAGGGGCTCAGAGCATTTTCTTCTGTGGCCTCTGGAAAGATACAAACACACAAACACACACACACATTCCTCCACCACCCCTTCCAACTCCTGTGGAGGCGCTGGGCGTGCGTCTTGAGCGTTCACTTCTTCGGTGTTTCCCTAGTCAGCAAGGTTTGTTGTCTTGTCCTCACAATCGCACAAAATGCAAAAAAATAAAAAATAAAACTCCCACCACCACCACCGTCCCCCCCCCCCCAGTTTAATTTGCGGTTAGATATCTGTTCAGATTGCCTCCACTTCCCCCAGTCAGCACTTAATTGGCAAGTCACTTGATTTAACAGCGTGGGAGCCGGCAACGGAAAAATGGCTGGCATAAATCACCGTCTGACGCCAGAAAATAGATATAATCTCAACATTAACTACATTAATAGTAGCAGGAGCCGAATTAAGAAAGCCATAAAGCATAGGCAGGAGAGTGTAAATTATCACCCTCTCTCTCTCTCTTTCTCTCGTCTCTTCGGCCTCCCTCCGCCCTGCCCAACCATTTTGTTGAGCAAGGCTGCCGTATGGGCTGAGCTGTATCGGTAGGCCGAGCAAGGCCTTCCCTAACCAATTCCCTTCCTGTTGGGACTCTGCGTAGAGCAGTCTTTCTCAACTCTTAAGAGATGTGGACTTCAACTCCCAGAATCCCCTACACCAGTGTTTTTCAGGTGTGGACTTCAGCTCCCAGAATCCTCTACACCAGTTTTTATCCGGTGTTGACTTCAGCTCTCAGAATCCTCTACACCCATTTTTTTCAGGTGTGGACTTCAGCTCCCAGAATCCTCTACACCAGTTTTTATCCGGTGTGGACTTCAGCTCCCAGAATCCTCTACACCAGTTTTTCTTAGGTGTGGACTTCGGCTC